CGCCTGCGCAAGATCCTTCAATCAAAGGCTTTGGCGTTGGACCCTTACAAGGAGTGCCTGGGAAGGATTGGGCAAGGATTTTGTTTGGATACATGAGGGGTATTGACTGGGATCCCTGCTGTTAAGACCTTGCTAGAAAGCATGGTGATTACACCATCTGGGCGAGCCTTAACCAAGGGACTCAGATCAGCACGTCCATTCCAGTGGCTGAGGCTTTGAGGATGGAATCTCAAGAACAAGGAAACAGCTGTCCAACCAGCTTGGCAATTCATGAGGTTACTGCTAGCATTATGTAGTACGGTTTGTGTGTATGTGCTGACTTAAGTCTGCCCTGATGGTAGGATCCGTGAGTCGGACCTTACGATCATGTTCAGATGTTGAAGGAAATTCTCATACTAGTAGCACTTCATCACATCTTGTAGTGGCACTTGATCAATGAGTTGGCGGTCATTTGAGCGATAGTCTAAACTCCTAGCATCCCCTCAACGACCCTATAGTAGTCCCCTATATGATCCCTGAAATAACCATAGCTGATTCCGGGATGATATTGAATCAGAAGCTTTCACCTCCTCAGCTTCTGCCCGTCAAGCTCCGGAAGCGTACTCCAAACAGAACTGAGCCACCCTAAGCCTTAAACCCTGTACCCCTACACCTTAACCCTAAACCCTAAACTCCTAAAACCCCTAAACCCCCAAAACCTAAACTCTGAGACCCAAGAGGCCAAGGGATGATCACAACCATAATGGCCACTATGAGAATGTGAGGGATTGCCTGACTAGCTGCTACAAAATCCCAAATAAGGACTCCTTTAGTTTAGGGTTTAAGGTTTAGGGGACCCCGCTATGTCACGAGGATTATTGAAAGCAACCCCTTTTTGGGAACAACTCCTATCGTCAGCACGATGTAGTGGCGTTGGCAAAGCCCTTGCCCGCCCTCGGAGTCCTCACTCGTAGAGCCGGGCGGCCCCTTCGGGGGTGCCTGCTCAGCAATTCCATAGAGAGTCTGCAGGCGCAATGAAAGTTTTTTGACATCGCAACTTGTTTTGGGAGTCCTTCCAGTGTGATTCCAAGATGCTCAGGCGCGTCAATGTTAGAAAGGCATATAGTTTAAAGACAATCTGCGGATTTCGCCCCACCTCTGGAGATAGGAGCGTGGGATTACGGTGTCCCTACCGGAATTACAGCACGAGCTGATAGCTGATGGCTTTTTCATCTCTTTAGCTGTCAAAGACTGCCCCTGCAGCTCTTGAGAACAGGCTTGCGGCGAAGGCCCAAATTGTTGAAGCAAAGTGCTGAGGGAAGGCTATTCTTCTACACAGATTACTGTTTCGCTGCAGCGCGACCGAAATTCAGGATTGCATGTCGGCTTGCAGCACTGCATCAGAGCCAGCAATGCAGCATCCAACTTTCTGAAAACGATCATGATGGCCTTGCTGAACGTCGTCGGCTTCGAGACGCCTGCTGAATAAAGGGAGCTTAACAAGTTCACGGAATGGGATGTACAGAAAAAGGGCAGATGCACAATGCTCATGTTCCTTGGCGGAGTGACGATGCCTTGACGTGCGGTCTAGCTGCCGCCAAACTAATTGAGTGCAAGTTACTCATCAACGGGCGGTGCGGAAACTCTGGCCTTGAGAGTTGCAGACGACAAGAGAATCCCAGAGTGTGACACTCCAAGCGTGGACAGCAAAGCAGGATACCCATTCCCGGACAAGAAGCTGCAAAAGTCAAATACCTTCAGCCTCAAGTTCCTTAAATCTAATCTAAGTGTTAGATGTGGGCACCTGCGTCTTTGGTCGGCGGCTTGTTCCAAGGCGCGCTGACTCCTGAGAGCCAAGCGTTGCACAGGAATCTCCCTGAGTCCTTGCACATCTTCAGCGACTGGCCCTTTAAAAAGTCTCTGAGGCAAGCACTGCTGACTATTAGCTCCGCGGCTACCCTTGTAGAATGCGTTGCAGAACTGCCAGGCGCACAGTTACCATTGTTCCTTCCTACTGTTGGACAGAAATTTGCTCGCATCCAGAAACGCCCGAAGATTTCCGACATAAACCGTCTTCCTATTCAGCTTCCTCGAGCCATAAGCCCAAAGCTGTAAGCCCTGAAACCACCCAACCATAAAGCACAAAATCGTAAAACCCCACCCAAACCCCGAAGCCCCAACCTCTCACAACCCTAAACCCCTGAGCCCTCGACGCCATGGCGCCGCCGCAGACTCGCCACCGGCCGCAGGCGGTGGAGCCTGGCAAGTGATGTTTGTTATCATAGCAACAAAAAAAGGGATACTGCGGCGCATTCTTAACAACAATAATCATGACGTCCTTTTTTGGTAGTAGTCTAGCCCTGTACAGCACCAGCAAACCCTGGAACTATCATCCTAAAGATGCAGGGCATCTAATTTATCCACACCTGGTGAAAGAGAGCAAAGCGCCAGTCTTGCTGCCAATGACTATGCAGTGCATATAGACAGCTAAGCATGCCCTTTCAATGATGATGGAGCTTTCTGGATGATCCAACTGGGGCACCAGCACCAAAGATTTATGAGGCTAAGGCCGTCCAAAGACGGTTTTGAAGGAGGTTAGTGCAACTACACAGAAAGGGATTCCTTGCGCCAGATTCCAAAGACTTTGGTTGCAGACTCTCGGATTTTGGCGTGCATCCTTATAACAGCCACCCATCAAACCTCCAAGATCTCGATATAATGCCACACACCTATATAGCCCTATATATCCCTATATGATCCTCTATAACTACCCTTATACTATCCTCGATATCCCTGAATCCCGATGAGGCGGCAGAAGGAACTATACAGGCCTTGGAGGATGGCGGAGCCTCTGCTGATCCACGAAGCTTTGGGTACCAGGAGGGTTTAAAGATTCAGGGGTTTTGGACTCGGGTTTTGGGTTTAGGGTGTATAATGTTTGGGGTTTAGGTTTTTGGGTTCGGGTTCAGGGTGTTGGGCTCTTCCCTCAATGTTTCGTGCTGCACCATGGAGGATATCCCATAAAACCTTGACGAGCAGCTGGCACCCGGCAACAATTTGCGCGCGGACGCCCAGGGTTCTTGCGGCGTTGCTGGGATTGCGGAGGGTGTATATACGGCTGACTGCAGTGAAAGCCTGCAATCAAAGCACACAGGGGTCTCATGCTAGGCACGAAGCCAGGGAGCCAAACCAAACTCCTAGAAGGCCCCTTCGAAACAAACAACAGTGTGATGTTCAGAAGGCAACAGTCCAAAACTGAATGGAAGCACCTGACTCTCTCCTGCTCTGCTGTAGCATCCTGTAGCAACATTTCCCAGTTCTTGATGCGCTCTGCAAACCTCCCGATAAGTATTGGGATAATGGAAAAGAAAATGGAAACTACTATAGTATATTGGGGTTTATATGGGATTAATGGAAAAGAAAATGGAAACTCCTATATAATCCCAGTTTCCATTTCATTTTCCATGTTCTTTTCCATTTGATTCTCCATTATAGCAGTTTCCATTTTATTTTCCATTAATCCCAAAATATATATATATATATATATACCCCTATATACCCTAATATAAACCCTATAATAAACCCTAGAATCCTAAAACCCTAAACCCTAAACCCTAAATAGTAGTTTCCATTTTCTTTTCCATTATCCCCATATAACCTTATTGGAGTTTCTATTTCACCTCACAGCCCAAAAACCGAAGTCTCTCCCCCCAACCCCAGATCTCCAGATGCCTAAAGTGCCCTGGGTTTTAACGTAGTTTAAGCCTTTTTTTTTGCCAATGGGGTTATATAAGGGATATATATAGGGGCTATATTGGGATCTATGTCCCTGGTTTTATCGTAGTTTAGCCTTTAAAAACACTGCTCCTTAAATTCACCTGCCTGAGGCGGCGCGGCCCCAGCTTGCACAGCCTAGCGGTCTGTTAGGGCAGCCATAAATGCTGGCGGCCGAGAGATTGCACGGATTAGATTCGGCTGAGGACTACCTGATTGGAGATTGGAATGTCAATGCAGGGTGCTGAGATTACACAGGATTCTTCTGTGTTGGGTTAGGAGACATCTTTAGGGCCCCAGGCTTTGCTGAGGCCAACAGTGGGGAAATGGCAGTTATGCTGGAATGCGGCTTCTGAGGGATGAGGTGCCACGCGGCAGTGAACGAAATGGATTCCTAAAATCCACCCCACTAGACTTGATAGCAGATTAAACCCTGATTCAACTTGGACTGGAAACCTGAAAGAAGCGAGCGTGTACAAATTGAGTTTTCCACATATATATAACAAATAATTAAAAACTTCGGCTTGCTGTTTCGGAGACATCAACACGACATCTATGAAGTGCAGCAAGAGGAGGCAGCAGTGCAGAGGTTCAAAAAATCTGCGGTCTGGCTGGCTCTGCACCCAACCCTCCACGCGCCTGCTCCAGGAAACTGATTAAATCCTGGCTTGGCGTTGGCGCTGGCGCACCTGCGTCAGCACTTCGACGCAAGCTCGGCCACATGAAGAAGACAGCCAGCGCTCACTACGAAGCGCGAAAATTGCAGACTAACAGCATGCAATGGCTCATGAGAACTAGACTTTGCGGTGGTTTCCGAGGATTTCCTTCTGGCGGTGTTCTGGTATGAACTGTAAAGCTTCGTAAGGTCAGAAAAATGCGCCCGGCCTGGCTTCGCGACCGGCCTGGCAGCGCTCTGGGGATGCCCAAGGATTGCTACCACTCGCTTAATGGGCGACAGGTGGGTACTTTTGGGGGGTCTATGCGAATGGCCTTGGAGTGAAAGTCTGTGGGGAATCCAGGACCAGCAATATACAATGCAAAAGGCAGGTGTACGTAGTGTAGGGGCACTGCATGTGGGGCAAGATGTCTCTGTGGCCGGCCCCTCACCGCATATCTACTTAGCCCTTGACTGTCCTTTTTGGTCCTCATTCAAATTGACCCACCAGTCTCCACACCTTCCCTGCAACCAGTCAGCAGGGCTTCCTTGCAGGGAGACAGGCCGTTCAGCTCAGAGGATGCCATGACTTTCAGCATAGACAGGCCGCTTCACAAGCTGTAAGAAAGGCTTCATCGACCATGGCCTCAACCAGCGCAGATGTCTCCATGAATAGCAGCCCCAAGTTGTTAGCAAGGTTGTCCCCCTCTGCATACGATACCTGTCTTTCACAATCCTTGTCGGCTTTATTTCCAAGAAGAACCATGGCAGAGTTGATTGTGCAGCTGGATCTGACGTCAAGGAACAAGCTGGGTACAAGTTCAAAGCTACTGCGCCTCGTGACGTCGTAAACTATGAAGGCCCCGTGAAAGTGATGGCCATGCCAATGGTGGAACTCTGGTCCATCTGCCTCTTGAAGCAGCATCTTGACGAGCGCACCGCCAACACAGACAATCCGCGAGTTAACATAACCCGTGAGTGTAGGTCCACGAGGGGGGAATATACGATCTGCAAACTGGACTCTCAAACACGACTTTCCAACTGAGGCTGCTCCAAACATGGCCCAGGAAGAAACGAAGTCAGCGCCCGGGCCGCAGCCAAAGGTTTTTCCCAAGCCGCTACCTTGGAACTTCAGGCAGGTCAGCTCTAAGCCTTCGCCTGCCCGATAGTCGCAGATCCTTGCCGAGGGTCGTAACACAGTAGGCCCAGAGCAAAGCTGGAGCACTTTGGGCTCCTCCAGCCCTTGCACGATCTGCCTCATGATGTCCTGGACCAAAGTCTCTGAGGTGCAATCATCCTTCTCGAGCAGGACATCGCCAACAAGGCCCCGTACGACAAGCCGGAATCTGCTATCTGTCTCATGTAGCTCCTGTTCCAAAGGACAATTCTCCACTTCACAGCCTAAGAGACTTGTCTCTTGACTGACCATAGCAGGTTGAGCTCCCGGAAACCTCCTGCTTGCAAATGAGCCTGGATTGTCTACATTTCTGAACATGCAGACCAGACAGGCTGCTTTCGGGCGCTTCCCTGAAACAAGCTGAGGGACTGGGACAAGCTGAGGGAGCCAAAATAGCGGATGCGCCATGTGCTCAAGTGTACGGTAGGGCCTCTTGCAAGCCACACTCGGTGGGTCTATGAGCCACGACCCCTGATTCCAACTTCAGTGCCAAGCGGAAACCGGCCCCTGCTTTGTGCTTTCGTTGTTGGTTCTTGAAATTGGGGTCTGCCAGACTAATGTTGCAACTGCATTGCCAAAGCTTGGCGATGCAATGGGGAACTTGTTTGCTCTTGATATCATTCCTACAGCTGTCATTCCTACAGCTGTCTGCCACGTCTCAGCACCCTTCACCGTGCGAATAATCTCTCTTATCAGAAGCGGTTCATCTCCGGACGTTCCTCCAGCAAAGCCTGAATTGCGCAACGAATCTTGTTTGCCGAGGCCCCCGCACAACTCCCGGCCGCAGTGGATGCATTGCGAAATCTTTGGAGCAATGCAGTTGTGAGGCTTGGCTGATTCGGCAGCTAGCTGGCTATAGTGGCTCAGGAGCTGCGGCATGGTTGCTGCCAGCAGCAAGCTCTAATGCACAGGTAGGGCACTTGATAAACTTATGCTTGGCTGGATCGTCATATGAAGATAACGTCGATGCAAATATGTGCTGGTCTAGCATCTCACTTTTGAGCCATCACTGCTTTGACTTCGCCACCAGCATGATGCTGATTGGCTTCTCAGCAGTCAGGAAGGACCACCATCCGCAGCTCGGAGTCCTAAAATCGTCTTCGTCAAACCTGCAAACTCGACACGTAGCTTGAACAATGCGATCAAGGAATGGGTCTCGAGTTTGAATCGAAGCAGCACATCCATAGGAAGCTTTGCAATCACGATTACGGAGATTTTCCTGCAAGGATTTCGGGTGGGTGTGTGGGCGAGATGAATAAAACGTTCAATCCGTCTGTGCAGGGGTTCTTCTGGGAGTTCGTCTGGATATAGCAAGGCTCACAAGGCTGATGCCACTTGGAAACAAGGTCCCAATCTTTGCTTGATACAGATTCATCTGTCCCAGCAGTTATCCGTTATCCCAAAGCACCAGTTCAATAGCTTCAGCTTGGTCCTGAACACATTGACCAGCCCGTACCAGCCACTGTAGGACTTTACAACCCAAAGTCCGAATCCGCCACTACAGGGCACAGAACCTGGGGCCACGCCTATCACGCCTGTCCTACTTGGCATAGCAACGCACTTTTCTGCCCTCTAGTGGCGAAGCTATTCGGCTGCCATCACACTGGCGTCCTTCCAGGAACTTGCAAGGAATAAATGAAGCTGGTCGCACTTTGAAATGTAGCAATTCGCAGGGTGTTCAGGAATTGAAGCTACAACCTGGTTTCCACCAAGGTTTTGGGAAATGGCTTGCCAGCATAGGGTTGCGAGAAGGTGAGAGTCCTGACACGCCTCCGTGAGGGTTCAGCATCCATAAGAAAATCACACTGTTTCGGGTTTAGAGGTGCATGGTTTAAAGGAGTGATATGGGAGTTGCTCAAACCAGGGGCCCTTTCTCTGGATGGAGGAAGTCTTATGCCACCCTACATACCCCAATGACCATTACAGAACTTGGGGAATATGTTGGTACAAGATTTTCTCCATCCACTGCAAGGACCCTAGGGATATGTAGGGATGATGAGGGCATTTGGGTGTCCTTATTCTGGATGATATAAGGAATGCTCTGAGAAACTCCCATGTAGGAGTTTGTAATATGGCGACCATTAGCAGGTATAGTCTTGCAGGCCAATTTTATCACAGCATGTTGACTGCTTCACTTTCTAAGACAGTAACATGAGCAAGCGAAACCTTCAGTACTGCACTCCAGTCCCCAGCGTCTAGGGTTTAGTGGATGCATGTCTTACCCTCCACGAACAAAGATGCAGCCTCGCCCCAGCCCATTTTAGACCAGTCTCTGCAGGACCATTTCAGGGTTTACAATCAGGATTGTAGATAAGTGGGACCAGTATTTTGAGCATACTTGACGGAGTAAGTGCAGCTCACTCATCAACAGACCTGATTTGGTCGCTCTCCGGAGGAAGTAGGGCCACACCCTGCCAGCAAACGTGCGCCTGAAAAAATTCCGGACCCCACTCCCTCGCCCTTACATGGCCCTACGCACACAAAGAATGTACAAGTTCAGGATAGGAAAACTCCAACCTTTACTTACTGCTAGTTTGTAGGGAATATGGGAATCAATTTTCGAGGACTACATAGGGTTATATTCCCTTATGTTTAACAATACAGCACAAGCCTCAGGGTCTGTTTCAGCTGCGCCGCCAGCGCCTGACGCATCTGCGCAGCAGCATTGGCCTGGGAGTTGCAAATCAGAGCAGAACCCTAAACCCAGTCATATAGGGGTTATATAGGGATCATGGAGAAGAAAAAGGAAACTACTGGGATTATAGGGATTATATGGGGGTTATAGGGATCATGGAAAAGAATAAGGAAACTACAATTTAGGGTTTAGGGCTTAGGGTTTAGGGCTTAGGGTTTAGGGTTTAGGGCCTGCTTAGGGTTTAGGGCCTGCTCATGAACATGGCAACAATATATAAGAGTGGTATAGGTTGTATAGAGACTAGATGGTGGTAATACAGGGGTAGTAGACGCTAAAGGGACTTAGTAATAATGGAAAAGGAAATGGAAAAGGAAATGGAAACTACTTTATTATAACTCATATAATGACCCTAGTTATCCTGATTATTAAGCTACTAACTACGTCCCATGACCCTGAAAGTAAACCCTGAAACGTGTACCGTGAGTTTATGACCTTGAAGACGTCTGCTACAAGCCAGGGACACAGGAAGAATAATAATCAACGGAATAACAGGAGCCGCTTCTATGACCCAAGTAAACCCAGCCAAAATGCTGAACGGCTCAGGGGCGATCAGCAGCGAGCCGATCCACGTAATTGCTTGTCTAGTCTGCAAACCGTGCATCACCGGTAGCTCAGATGCTACAATTCTGCAGTAGTCTTCCAATATAGATGGCCCAAGAGGTCTTCCAACAACAGTGCTAAGCTTGCCTCAGCCAGTAGACCCTACCCGTCAACTGACAAATACACCTAAAATCATATTAAGGGTCCTACTTATAGTCAATAGTTAAGGGGTATTGGACTCTATCTACTCCACGAATCCAAAACCCCAGGGGCCTCAAAGGCTAGAGGTCCATCTCCTGATATCAGGCATCTGCACATACTTCCAACATAGGAATGCGGAAAATGTTTGGTGGTGATTGTTGTTGAACTACTACTGACCTCTGTTCACAATAGAGGGTTCAGAAACTTGGGGTCCCGTTTGGGGATCCCTACAAAAGGACTATAGTATCTGGGAGGATATAAGTGTCCCTGAACCCTAAACTAAACCCTCAAGCCTAAACCCTAAACCCCTTAACACTGAATCATGGTGAAAGGCCGTCTCAGCCACTGCGGAACCGCCGGCAGCGGGCGCTGTCAGCTCAGCCACGAGGTTCCTGAGCTTCATGGATTACGTGATGCCATAACACGGGGATGTGGGGGTTGAGAGTTTAGGATTTAGGGTTTAGGGTTTAGGATTTAGCATTCAGGATTTGGGGTTTCGCACGGGGATTTGGGGGTTTGGGGTTTAGGACTTAGGGGTTTAGTTCGATGCCATAACTCATAGAAACCGCTTTGCAATGTATTGCAGGCCCCCATAATCTCCTTTCAACCCCTAAATACCCTTCGGCTTTTCTGGGACCCTCTGTTATGAGAAGCTCCCATGTAGTCATACCGAGCACAGGAATTTTCTCGGGGGATGCCCTGGTTCCCTTCTCTGTCTAAGCATCCAAAGCCAAACACAGAATTGCTTGGGCTCTTCTAGAGCGACCCCAAACGGGACCAGCTCATAGCAGAAATGTCCGCGCTGAGCTTGGTGCTTTCCCGTCGCAGAGCCTCCAGCTGTGGCCTGGGGCAGAGGCGAGTTGGGACTCAAAAGAAAAAGAGATGGGGGTTAATATTGGGATAGTGGAAAAGGAGCGTAGCGAGGTCCTATCTCACTGTGGATAAGGAATTCCAGGAGCCTTGTGCTGTGTCGAGGCCGGGCTGGACCCGGACGATGATGTAATCACTTCTGGCCCATGAGCTGAATGCCACAAAACTGTGCTAACCGACTCAGCACCGGATGCATCCGGCGGGTTGTGGCCCCTTCTGAACCGCCCGCACAGGCTGTGATGCCGGATTAATTCTTTGGTTTCTTTTCACCCCTAACATCGCAGCAGCCATGCAATCTCCCTGTGCCCTTGAAAAAGCGCCCACATGAGTGCTGTGTTGCCGGACTGATCGTGCAGGTTCTTGTCGGCGCCGGCTTCTAAAAGCATCTGTACAATATCCCTGTGGCCGTCAAAGGCTGCACGCATGAGAGCAGTTTTTCCGGAGTTCTCTGGCAGGCCCGCATCAACACTAGCTTCCAGCAGCCTCCGAACTATCTCTCTGTGACCTGCATGCGCTGCTAGTGTTACAGCCGTGCTGCCAGAATGATCCTGCAAATCCTTGTCAGCGCCAGCGTCTA